TATTAACCAATCAGATTTTGTAAAATCACGAAATGATCTACAAAAATTATCCAATCAGAATAAAAGCCCGCTATGCTGAATATCTTTTGTAGAAGATGCTTTTGGTACATTAATAATGACCTGAGTCTGCTTCCGTTCCAATTTCGTGACTCTATCTTTAAGCTCAGTATTCTCGGCAGTGAGCTTGGCAGTATCTGTTTTATTTTTTTTCTCTAACTCTTCAAACCTGATTTTAAGCTTAATGCTCTCTTCTATAACCTGTCTTAACTTCACGTTTTCAGCCTCGACCTCAGCATATTTCTTTCTAAGTTCGGGAATTTCAGCATTCTCCTTTCTAAGATTAGCAATCTCGACTAAGAGCTTCGAATTTAATTCTTTCAATGAATCAATTTTGGATTGTATATCTGCCATTTTTATATAAGACGTAGATATGTTCAAAAGTCCGTTTAATATAGAAAAATATACATGTATATATGCTATGTAAGAAACTTTATACTAAGAGAATTCTTGATTACATCGATATTTATACAACATAATAAAATCCCGAAATACACATGCAAAAGCAAACGCGATTATGTATATGAAATCGAGCGTAATGTAGCCCGTAATAGGACGTGATCGCAGTGTGATCCATATATTTACATTGGGAAATCTGAGTGCATTATTTTTTGTAACACTAATTACATTTATACAGCAATGCTATAAACGAATTTAATCACATTAATATCCTCTTTGGAAATATATGATTGTACAAAATAAGCTCATCCAATTTTAAAAAAATCAATCCGTGGAATCATTCCCTCCCCTACCACGACCTCTCCCCCTTCCTCTTCCTCTTCCCCTATTCCTTTCTCCTTCTTTTGATATTTTTGGTAAAAATTCTGCAAATGTTACAGCTTTTGGCCGTTCTGGTGTAACTCCAGTTGGATATTTGATTTTAGGTTTCGCGATACGTTGCTGTCCTTCCTTTGCAAACTTCTTAAACATCCTAACCTCCTTAAGAACATTATATCGTAAACATAAGAGTGTTCGAATAAGTCGAGGTACATGTTCTAAGTTACCAGTAGAAGTTGAGATAACGAGAGCTGGAATCGTAAATGGTGAGAACAAGTACAATCCAGGTCCAATAAATATCATTTGACCAATTTCAATATTATCACCTGAGAATAAGTAATCTATATTATATACTAAAACATAGAAATGTTTGCGAGCATTTGAAAACTTACCAAATCCTTGAGCCAAGAAAACCTTCAATGTACTACATACTTCCCACGTTGGCAGTCCCGTTCTTGTCATAAACTTATTGATGGCAAAAACACCCTCATTCATCAACTTTTGCCTATCTTCATTAATTTTATCTGGGTCCGGATTATTGGGACCTTCCGATACCTCGAGCAAAAACAATGGAATTTGCATGGGTCGCTCAAAAAACTCCAATACACCATCAGCTTTAAAACCATTTTCTTGAACATCTATTTTTGTAGAAATACTTCGCTCACATGAAAAATAATGTAATGAGTCGATAAAACAAAATGTAACAAAAAACAGATATGCTAATACGTGAGCTGTCCATGTACGTTCAGGGGTATTTTTCATAGCACCATTCATCTTTATGATAGTATCAAGGTGACTAGATACGCTCTTAACAATAAACATATCAGACATTTTAGATTGATCATAATATTGTGCTGACATGGGAAAAGTATTGGATAGGTAGTGATATTTTTCGGGTAAGCCATCTAATTGGTGCACGATTTCCTTCATTTTAGCAATTGATTTGTTAAACTTTTCGTTATCTCCTTCCATATTTTTTGTCTCTTCATTATTTTCATCTACAAGATCACTGCCAGCTACTTCGTCCACAACTTCGTCATCACAAATATCTTCCAAATTCTCTTCCTCCATAATCTGATCAAACAGCTCTATATATTTACGTGCCTTTTCATTTATGTGCATATCTTCATCATCCAACATTAACCTTTTAAACAACGCTTTCAACTCATCCTCATCTAAAAGGTCATGAACCTGATATAATGTATCTTTATCCCCTAAATCGATAACATGATAGTTCGTAGCATCTTGATTGTTCCAGATAGATTTAAGTTTACTATAATATGACGGAAATTCAACTTTGCCGAAAGTGTTGGAGGTATCAATCACTGAATTCGCTAAATCTTCATCTGTAACATCTTTTTCAGCCTCTTGCTGTGTGTTGCGCGCACGTTTTTTCGGCAGAAAAGGTGTGGTAGATCGTTGAGCTTTCTCTTTCAGATCCGACGCAACATTTTCATCAAAAGCTTCCAACATTATCTTTGAATCTCTTATTGTGGATCGGCTCTCATTCGGGAACATTCTATTGGAGGTTCTGATCTATGCATTCAAAGAGTCAGCAGATGTTTTTGCTAATTAAATTTTAAGTTATATACTGACCTCATTTGGTGAGGTTGAGAATCCTTCCTCATTTTGTTCACATCTCGAGAACTCGGAATGTAATCGCTTGCTTGCATTCTTGAGCTACGAGGAAAAGAGATATAGATATGTAAGTAAAACAAAATACAATGTGTAATTTATGTTAACATCATGACATCAGCAAACCTCGGCTTCTTCTACTGTCTCCTCGGCCATGTTCTCCATCATATCTTGTGTCTTACTTCTTATATTGACATGACATCGTAGCTATATGTATATCAGTTAGAAAAAGCTAGGGAGTTATTCAACGAAAAGTATATTTACTGTTCGCAAAGTTCCTTCCTGCTCTAGACACGTATGTTCGATTTCGTTCCAGAAAATGTTGACTTCCTCATTATGCTGTCGATGATTCTAACCAAAAAGAGACGAAATACATTAATATAAAAATTTGTAATGCCTAAGATGCTGTATGGTACTAATGAAAGAATATTTAGTTCAGACCACAACATTCACGTAGAATATTAGAGGAACGGCGCGTAGAACGTCCTCATAGTTGTGAGAGCCATAAGTGGCTTCTGAGGTTCCCACACACCACAACATTCACGTAGAATATTAGAGGAACGGCGCGTAGAACGTCCTCATAGTCGTGGAAGTCGCAAGCAACTTGGCAAAAACCTCATACTGCTTCATAACAAAGAGGAATAAATCAAACCTTAAATGCTTCTGCCAACTGTTTGGCCCTTGGTATTTTTTCTTGGTGGGATTCAAGATATTTCTTGAGTAAAAACGACTCCTTCCTGAAAGAAAAGGTGAAGTTGCTTTCATTACGACGGTGTTTGTAGTAACCGATGAAGCTCCATTCTTCGGAAGGCGTATCAAAATAGGTTGTTGTCATGGGAGGAAAATTAATATACTTTTGCAATAAAAAAAAAAAAAGCGCGTAAGGGGTATATATGACGATCACCCGATTTGCTGAAAAAATGCACCAATCACGATTGAATCACGACCGCATATCCCTGTAATAAGTACATATCACACTGGGGTGTATCATGCAAGTCTATTTACAAACATAGTGCAGGTGCATAGTGAAAATCATTAATTGAATTTTTTTATAGTAAAAATTTTTTTGATCTGCACGTAATAGTAAAAACTATAGTAAAGTCGTCGTCTTTCGTTTTTAATTCCTTTCGAAATATTTAATATTTTTTAATTTT